CTATCGAAGTTGCGCCGATTTCCACGAACATAGAGCATCGCATTGGCGGCTCCGCTGCCCCCAAGCATCCGGCCGCGCGGCCAATAGCAGCGTCCGTTTCGCTGCGCCTGGCACGCCGTGCCGCTGTTCTCCGTGAAATAGTTCCACATGAAATCGCTGAATTCGAGTCCAAAGAACAAAGCGGGCAGCTAGAGAGAGAGAAAGGGAGACATTTAGTACATTGAAACAATAATATAAAAGCAGCCCAAAATCGGACCAAAATCTGGCAAGGTCTAAAATGATCCTCCCCGTGCTCAGTGATTCCAAGCAATCGATATAAATATCAGGGATCTTTAATTTTATAGCTACCCCTAGCGCGAAGATGGTTCAGTGTATCCCCTAGTCGGGCACTTTCGACTAGAGCTCTCTTAGTTGTTATTTTTCTTTTATTAGTCGTAAATACTATTATAGCTTCAACTCATCTTCAATTTCTCATTCAACTTAAGGTCTTAAGATATTTTGTCTAAACATAACTCGATTTTGCACTTATCTAAAGAGTTTCTCTTTAAAAGACTTGCCCTTAAGAGTTTCTCCCTCTTGCGGAACAGGAACAGAATAAGGGATGCTAAGTATTATAATGTGAAATAGTCTTTAATATCTCTGATGGTTACCAATTTTCAAATTGTTTTCTCTTAATACCAATCAATTTCGAACTTATCTAAAGAGTTTCTCTATCAATTTTACTGTTAAGTAGTAGGCAATTAACTTCAAATAAGTGAGTTCGTTTATCTTGTTAAGAATTCATTAGCTTGCGAGTTGTTGTTATTTTTTGATAACTTATGTATGTAATATCCATTTACATTTGAAGTGTGTTCGAGTTTTGTAAATGTTAACATATGAGAATGCAAATTCAGCAGCTGATAAGCTGAAGATTAGTTAACAACAATCCTCCCCCATAAAGTTACGTGAATTCTTATCGCCGTACTGTTAACATAATGTTAACATGCAACTGATAACAGTGCTCGAAATGGGGCACACGGAAATCTCCTGAATAAGAGCTGTTATCACAAACAAATAGGCGTCAGGTCGCAGGTTCGAACCCAATAGCTAGTTTGTTATCAACCAGAAAGCAAAAAGCGATAATAAAAACATTACAAAAAGGGACGCGACAAAGAATTGTATATTTTTGTTCTCGGTAATTTTTTTTTGTGCATATTTAAGCACCGCAGGTTGCCGGTTCAAATGCAGAAGTCATTTTTGTTCATTTTTTTTTTTTTGAAAAAACAATAAAATTGAAAAATAATGATATAATTTTTATTTTTTCTGAGAGTATGTGCGTATTTGAGTATCGCAGGTCGCTGGTTCAAATCAGCAGTAACTGGTAATTGTTTATTTAATTTGTTATATTTCTCAAATAAATAACTCAACTTCCAAGCAAAAAAAAAAAAAAAACTAAGGAATTAAAAACACCTTGAATGATTTTAAAAAGTTTATTTTTTGCTAACACAAATAAATGGGGAAACGAAAAATGAATGCAATTTTTCTTGTATAAAATACTTTGTGTATAAATTGAAGGACGGCAGGTTGCCGGTTCAAATGCAACAGTAATATTTATAAATACATTATTTTCTTGATGTGTGAATGAAAAAAATGAAAGAAACAATGAAGAAATGAAAAATGAATGCAATTCTTTTTAGTTTGAATACTTTTTGAAGCATGGCAGGTCGCCGGTTCAAATGCAGCAGTTACTTTTTGTTTATTTCATTTGCCACAATTAAACAAAAAAAGCAATAATAATACAAAATAATAATTTAACATTGCCTTTTCGACATTATTCATTTGACATTATTTATCGGCACCGGAAATTTCTTCTGATACTCAATAAAAATATTCACGTTTGCTTGTCGTATATTTTAGTATATATTGAAGTACTTGAAGTACCCTTTACGCAACAGTGCAGTATTTAAGCATATGTTTGATTTTTGCAATGTCAATGCACACAGTGAGCACATTAAGCACTTGAGATACCCTTTTATTTGTTCTGTGTCTGTGTAGTATTTTATATGGGCATAGCTCCCGCTTGGATGTCAATCCCGTTTACAGTTCACATTGTGTGCACACCAAATTCACACAGTTGCCGCTGAGTACAGGTGCAAACACGAATCGAATTGCTTGAGACTTACCTCGGACTCGACGGGCGGATCTCCGCCCGCCTCCAGGACGAGCACACGCCAATCGGGATTCTCGCTGAGGCGACTGGCGACCACGGAACCCGCCGAGCCGGCTCCAATGACCACAAAGTCGTAGGGCTCGCCGAAGCCATCGTTGCCCATCACATCGCCATAGTCCGGTGGCCAGAGCGTGGTCGGCGCCACATTGCACTGGGCCGCGAGCAGGGCCTGCAGCAGCATCTGGAACAGTCCGCTCCAGAGGCCGGTGCCGGGCGGCGTGCACTGCGGATCGCCGGGACTGAAGATGTAGCTCTGGTTCGTTGTTGTTGCCAGCATTTGGAATGCGTACGCTTTGAGGCGACGCCAGCGAATGCATTTTGCTTTTATAGATGCGATAAGCGGGCAGCTGACCGAATGGCAAATTATCTGACTGACTGACTGACTGACTGACTGAATGACTAGTTGTCGTGGTGTGTGTGTCGCCTTAGCCAGCAAAAACAACCAGCATTGCCTTTTGTTGACTTCACGTTTAGCACTAAAACAACGAGAACAACAACAACAACAACAACAATTGTGACAACAACTATTCTTAATAGTACGAGCTGCGTCATGTGTGCCAAGTCGTCTGCCCAGGGACTCAGCACGTGAGCAGCTGCGATAACAGATTGACTGATTGAAAAGCTGATTGACTAATCGATTGACTGACTGATTGACAAACTGATTAAGTGACTGATTTGCTGATTGACTGCCTGATTGATTGACTGATTGGCCGCCTGAACAGCTGACCGACAGACTGACTAGTGGACTGACCGGTTGACTGACTGATTGACAAACTGATTAACTGACTGACTGACTGATTAACTGCCTGACTGATTGATTGACTGATTGGCCGCCTGAACAGCTGCCCGACAGACTGACTAGTGGACTGACCGGTTGACTGACTGATTGACAAACTGATTAACTGACTGATTAACTGACTGATTGACCGACTAATTGGCTGACTGACTGATTGACTGCCTGACTGATTGATTGACTGATTGACCGCCTGAGCAGCTGACCGACAGACTGACCAGTGGACTGACCGGTTGACTGACTGGTTGATGGGCTAACTGACATATTGACGAACTGAGTGAATAACTGATTGGCTGATCGGCTGATTGATTGACTAGCTGATTGAATGACTTATTAACTGACTGTTTGGCTGACTGTTTGACTGACTGGCTAACTAAATGACTGATCGACTGACTGACTGATTGCAGCAAGCGTGCTTTTTACAGTCTCTTTGGCTCACAAATTACGTCAGCATTAACATGAGTCTTTCATTTAACACAGAAACATGTTAACAGCTCAGAGATTAATTGTAGAAAGCCTAACCAATCCAAGCCAGTCATTTAAAAGAGTTCAAGGTTCGGCTATATAAGCATAGTTCAGGCGAATGTTTTGCATTCCTCTTACTAAATGCCTTGCCCAAGATCTTGAAATACGTGTCAAGTTCTTGTAAGGGAAAACTTTCTTAACCATGCACTATATCTATAGAAAGAATCGATTAGAAGATGACTTGTTTAAGTGGAAAATTTCGCATTGTTTTTTTAATTTTTTCCTACAGTCACAACTGGTCGGCAATAAAGTTTTCCCAACAAAGCATTTCTGAGCCACTTATCTGGGAGATTATTTATTTATATATGGGATAGTCGTTCTTTCTTGTTAGCATTGTCTGGAATAATCTTGAATTTTCCATATATATACAAACTCTCTGAGTCGTAAACTTGTTGAAGAACTTGTTCAGCTATTTGCTTTATGGGAATAATAGAAAAAACAGTTTCGCATAACACCTGAATTTTGGCATTACAACGCAGTGCTTCGGGCATGTTGTTTCCTTCAAACTTCGAGTTTGCCAGAACTGACCTGCTTAAGGCTGAGCCTAGAGTTTAATGTTCGACTATTAAATATTTTCCATTTAAAAAGTTCATTAAAGCATGTTAAGTACTATCATCTTATCAAGCACTTTCACATTTTTAATCGCCTGGCTGTAATTAGTGTATTATGATTGTGTTGTGCTGCACTTAACCAAGTATAACCCAGACCCAGACAATGTCGTTCAAGGACAGTCACTCTGTAAGCGCCAACAACAACAACAACAACAACAACAACAGCAGCAGAAACAATGACATTAAAAATTGCCAGTTTTTTGCTGACCGATTATAGTTTTTGCCTTGTAATTGCCATAAAAGGCGCCTTTTTAACAAGCCTCAGAATGGAACCGCATTTTTAAGCAACAAGTCAATGCGATTGACATAAAGTTAAGTGAAATAATGCCCAGCCAATGGATACCCTGGAGATAGTTCTAGAATGGTAATGGCAAATATGCCGCAATTGGTCTGAGCTCTACGAGAACCAAACTGGCAATATATGTTCTTCTTTCTATTAGCCTATATGATGGTGCATAATATTCCCGCCTCGGCTTCTTCCCCTAGTCCTACACCATGAGAAATGTAGTCTTTATTATATAACTTGGCTGTTTACAGTCCGATCTTAATGAAATTTTCTGAGCCCAACCGTGTCACCCAAATGTGCGTACATACCAAGGCGGAAGGTTCTGTCTGAACAAATGAGTATCTTGAAGTGAATTATTTCTAGTCCGTAAATACCATACATGAACCCACTTGTCAAATTTGGTGCAGCTAGCTTTTATAGTTCTCGAGTTATAACTAAGAAACCAAGTCTCAAAATCGATATTTATCGCGCCGTTAAATGCTACCAGAGCGTCACATATAGGTGGCAAGCCTGGCAAATGCTATCACAGAAATGGTGTGGCATTTATAATATACATTGGGTATCCATTTATCCATATATGTATGTTCTCATTGATGCATCATTTACTGCTGTCTGTGCACAATATTTTATTGTATCCTTGCAGCCACTAATTGATTGGGCATTCAAAAAAAAAAATATATATACATATATATGCAACAAAAAAAAAAAAAAAAAAATAGGGAAATTAAGTTAATTGAAACACAAGTTGAGTATTTGATGGTGCAGCTGGCGCCATCTGTCGGCCGACTGCAGCGTCTCACAGTCCGCTGTTCATGGCGATGCGCACGAATTGGGCGGGCGCCGGCGGCTCAGCATTGGCGGCAGCCGCAATCCAATTGCTTACGGGCAACAGATTGAGGCCAGCGCTGAGATCTGCAAAGAAATCATCACCAGATATAACTGAGACTCTTAGCTGGGGCAGCAGCTCCCTTCCATGCAGCCCGACAGCGTTCGCAGGCACGAACGAACTCACCCGAAGGATCGTTGAGAGCTGGCGCTGTTGCTGCTCCTGATGCTGTGCCTGCTGCTGTTGCTGTTGTCTCCGATTGTGCCGCCTCCAGCAGCAACTGTTGCTGCGGCCGTGCTGCAACTGTGGACAACAGTTGCAGCAGCCCAAACAGCAGCAACAGCAGCAGCAACTGCAGCTGCAATTGTCGGCGGGGCTGGATCTGGTGCTGTTGAAGCTGGATCTGCTTGGGTCGCGTCATTTTGTCAGCAGGCGATGTCGGGTACTGGCCTGATATGAAAATCTCGGAAACCTTTTTGAAAACTTCAGCACAGCCGACCACTGTAAATATGTGTCTGTCTGTGTGTGTGTAACTGTGTGTAAACTGGTAAAACTTGTCGCGTTTGCCATTTGGTTCAGCGCCCGCTCATAAAACACGCCAAAACGGCAACAGCGACAACAACAACAACAGCAACAACAACAGCAGCAACAACGTGCAGCAAATTGCAGGCGCCTGTTGTCAATGTCGCCAGAATTTGCTGGGAAATGTTTCAGCTTGACTCCAACAACAACAACAACAAGAGGCAGCAGCAGCAGCAACACCAGCAACAACAACAACCACGGCAGCAACATTTGACACTGCAGCAGCAACTGTTGCTGCGGCTGACATTTCGAGCACAATTAGGCACAAATGCGCTGATCGATCTTTCATTTTGATCGCGCGCAATTATAGTTTATCTACAAACAAAAAATTAGCAGAAAAAAAAAAACTATGATCCAATCTAGTTTCCCATTCACATAACTCAATTTAATCTGAAGCATTTATTTATTTGCAATTTTTTGTACAATCATCTAGTTGGGAATTGTAAAAATGCTGCATAATTCTGAATGAATGAATAATTTATTTATTCAATTTTCTTTCATATAAATGCATATTGTCATGCCTTAAAGTACACACACATATGTATTATACGCTGTCTTCCGCCTTCTCGCTGGTTCGAACCCTAAGCTTCAAGTTGTGTGTGCTCAAATTGAAATATTGAAGCAAATTGTTTTTTATTCTCTTGTGACTTAAAGAAATGTAAACACGAATTGCTGGATTTGAATCGGCAACCTCTCGCCTCTTAGTTCAGCGCTCTTTTTTCTTTTATTTTCCAGCCGAGAATAAGGAATTTGGCATTACGTTTCCCATAATTTGGAACAAATGTCCTTTTGGATCTTTTTGATCTTTTGGACTTGTAGCATTTAGCTTTTGTTAGTTAACCAGATATTGCCATGCTTTTGGAACGTCGTTTTCAGTAGCTTCTGCACGTGCACATTTGCAGCTGGGCTACTTTGGCTTTGGCTTTGGATTTGGCAATTGTGAGCGGCCAGGCAATTGGCTCATGAATGGGACAAGGCTGCCAATTCTTAAGCCCGCCAGAGGTCGACTCAGCATTGACCCCTGCCATTCGGCACGAGTACACGAGTACGGTTATTGTTTACCCGCTTTTTAGCCCAGTTAAAACACAGCTTTTGACCTTCGCATGGCCAATGAGAGTTTGGATTAGGTTTTTACAAATTTATTTGGCCACGAAAAGTTTGACGACTGGAAAAAGACGTCTTCGAGCCCATAAGGTGTGCACATAATATACATATATATACAAAATATATAGAATATTTGTATATATGTATATATTCTTGATCAGTTTTAGTCGAGTTCGCAACGGCTGAAACGGACTACTTTGCAATATAGCTGCCTTGGGAAGAGTCGGTCGACAATACAGTTCTTCTTTTAAACACTTTTTTCTCCTTCAAAATATTCCAATCAAACTTGGCGTATACGGGGCTTAAAATTCTCTTCATATATGAGAGGCATCTTATCAAGATCGTTTTACTACTTCAGATAATTGGAGTAGTGGGAACACTCTCAGATGCTTATCATATAGGACTACAATCTTATTAGGATCTTTTCATTATACCACATAGAAGACTATCTTTGAATTTGTTTTTCGAGAAATCTTGATCTTCACTATACTTCCAACATAACCTTCAAGCCGCATTCCAACGGACGACTATATCATATGGCTGTCATGGAAAGCTTGCTCGGGAGAAGAGTTTCCCGTCCACAGTAATTCCAAGCCACAAGTTCTAAAGAGTATTCAGTTGTCCTAGTTTTGGTTTATTTATACATTTATTTATAGATTCTTATGTTAAGAAATACGAGCTACAGCTTGGGTTTAGTTCATAGCCAAGATCAGAGAGCGAGAGGTTTCTAGCCTGATTGGGCTGGAGGGGGGGAGGAGGGGGACTCAGAGCCAACCGCCGTGTGGATAATGATGCCAATCCTCCTTGATAATGTCCGCGCCCCGCTCGGCTATCATCAGGGTGGGCGCATTCGTGTTGCCGGTGGGAATGGTGGGCATGATGCTGGCATCGATGACCCGCAGATTGCGCAGGCCGCGAACGCGCAGCCGTGGATCGACAACACCGTACGGATCCTGAGCGGGCGCCATTTTGCAGGTGCCAACCGGATGGTAAATGGTCTGCGAATAATATCTGGCCAGGCACTCCCAGAAGGCATCGCTGAGGTACTCCACCTCGGGACAGTTGCGCCACTCGTAGATGTTGAGCGTGGCATTTAGCCGCTGCATAGCCGGCGTCTGGGCGAGCCGATGGGCCATCTTGAGGCCCTCCACCATGACGGCCATATCGAGCGGATCATCATAGTAGTTGGCATGGATCAGCGGATGGACGCGCGCATCTGACGAGCGCAGCTGCAGATAGCCACGCGAGCGCGGACGCATCAACAGCGGTGCGATCACAAACGAGTCCTGATACTGTATCGGCTCGAAGGTGTCAGCATAGTTGGCCAGCGTAATGGCGGCGCCGCGTCGCCCGATCATGCCGCCGTCGGCGCCGTAACCATAGCTGCCTAAGAACAGCTGGACATCGGGCCAGTCTGCATGCGGCATCGATGCCACTTGATATTTGGTGCTGACAAAGCCCATCACCTCGCTGACGGGCATGGCATAGAAGAAGCCGTTCTGGTCTTGGATAAACTCCTCCACTGACTCTTTGGTCAGCTGCTCGGGCACTATGAAGGACATGTGTGTGCCCGGTTTAAGGCTGTCGAAGGTGTAAATGGCGCCCGAGGTGGAGATGTGATCCTGCAGATTGCCGCCAACGCCGGGCAAATGCTGCACCAGATCGATGCCCAGCGGCAGCAGCTGCTCGGCGGGCCCCACGCCGCTCACCATCAACAGCTGGGGACTGGCCAGGGCGCCGGCGGCGAGCACCACCTCCTTGTTGGCCAGCACCAGATGCTGCACCAGGCCGTGCTCGAAGCGAACGCCTCGCACACGCTTGCTGCCCGGCTCGATGACCAGACGCTCCACGAACGCCTTGAGCACAATGTCCAGATTGGGTCGCTGCCAGCTGCGACGGATATAGCCCTTGTTGGCGCTGCAACGGAGGCCATCCCTCAGCGTGCCGTGGGGCGGGGCGAAGCCCGTCTGTGTGCGTCCATTGAAGTCGCCGTCGGGATGGGCCATGCCCAGCTGGGTGGCTGCCTCCATGAAGAGCTCAAGCAGCGGCGAGGGGGATCTATAGCGTTCCACGCTAATGGGTCCGCCATGGCCATGATAGGGGCTCTCCTCGAAGCCGGGTACACGCATGTCCTCGGCCTTGCGGAAATAATGGAGGACATTGTTATAGTCCCAGCCGGGATTGCCCAGCTGGGCCCAAAGATCATAGTCACGCCGATTGCCGCGTATATACATCATCGCATTGATGGAACTGCAGCCGCCCAGCACCTTGCCCCTGGGCCAGAAGCACTGCTGATCCTCCATGGCCAGGCAGTAGCGATCGGAGGGCTCTGTCAGATATTTCCAGTCCCATGGACTGCGCTGGAATACCGGATACAATTGCGGCAGATCCATCAGGAGCGGCTCGTCGCCGCCCGCCTCCAGCAGCAGCACACTCCACGCCGGATTCTCAGAGAGGCGCGCCGCCAGCGCACAGCCCGCCGAGCCGCCGCCGACAATGACAAAATCATAGCTCGGACGCAGCTGCTCAATGAATATGGTGCGCACGCGGTGCAGCTCATCTACAATGTCCGGACGCTGATCCTTGATGCCCTTGTTCAGCATTAGGATGACCAGCGCCGAAGGGCCCAGCGTCAGCAGAAACCGCCACATGGTCACAAACGTGTTCACCGCCGTCATCTTCGATCCGAGTCGAGTCTGGACTGAACCGAGCCGGCGCGTGTGGCTTCGCAATACCCCAAAAACGCTGACCCTGCCAAAACGGGTGCAATGACATTGTCTCTCTCTCTTTCTCTCTCTCTTCGGCATTTCGTAATAGTACTTTGCTCATACCACCCCCCCACCCACTCAGCTAGAATTGGGTCGATTGCCTTGTCGAATACCCTGTAAACTCCCAAATCGCCCCCATAATATCTATAGTTTGTTAATACATATATAACTGACTGATTGATTGACTGACTGACTGAATGATTGCTGATCAGCGCGTCGTAAGAGCTGGAAAGCTTAATTCCACCCGCAACTGTGGAATCTGGGCAAAAAGCGAAACCCCTCGTTTGCTTCCGATCGGCCTTTAACTGATTTTGAAATATTTTTGCAACAATCCATTTGAGACGTGTTTCACACCTTTCGCAAAATCCACGCCTTCCGTGGGAAAAGTGTGAAAGATTGATTTTCAGCTTCGCACTCGTTTATAATAAGTACATTTATAATGTATAAGAACGGTTTGTTTTTTATTTTTTAATTTGAAAGACTTGGAAATATTTGTGCAAAGTATCATTTGCGATGTGGGGCTGAAGATGGCGGATGCGGATTTCAATATTCCACGTGCGAAATATGTGTTTTATTAACAATATGTTAAATGAGAAATCCTTTTTAATGAGGAAAATGATTTAGTGATGGGGTTAATTTTACGTTTGGCCGAATTGAAAAGGTAGGTCCTAGGCATAACTTTTCTACAAGCGGCGCACTGTAAGGATGTTGCCTAAAAGTTCAGGGGGCCAATGAGGGCAATTGAGACAAACTTAGTAATGTGTCGTTGAAATATTTATTGTCCAATTTTTGTCCAATTCTAGAAAGAATATAAAACTTCTTGGCCGGGCAACGCCGGGTAATACACGATTTTATATCTACACAAGGTATAGTATTAGTAGACTGCGAGGCATTCAATTTCAACGCTAAGCGCAAGCACGGCGAACCACACAAACGAACACAACCGAAAACTGCACAAGCAGACAGAAAAAGAACAAGAGAAAAAGTGCTGCGACTAGCAGATACCCTGTACCCAGTTTCATTGCATACTGAAGCACGCGTCTACGGCATAAATGCAAGGTTAAATGGAATTAAATAAAATATAATAATAATAAATAAATATTTCATTTATATCGAAGTGGTGGTGACTGAACATACCCCTTAGAACGCAATTCGTGTGTACAGGGTATGCTATGGGAAACGTCGCTGCTGCAGCTAACAGCGCTGCTCAGCACTTAACAGCTACTGTTAATTAACAGCGAAAGCCTGCGCTCTCCCTTTCTGTCTCTCGCTCTCTATCTCTTTCATTGTTGAGTTCATTGTGCATTCCGCTTGATTGATGAGCTTGGTGGGAGGGGAGGGGGGGGGGGGGCTGCATCCACAGCTGTTACTTGGCCGACATTAAGTACTTATTTACAGCTCAGTGCAAACAAACGGAAACCGAAAACAGGCAAAACGCACATAAAGATAACGAGTGGGAGAAGATAACGGCACGTCGCACTTGAAATACCCTTTCCGATGCGCTTTTATAGGCTAGCTTTAAATCAGATGGATTGTTCTCTTTTTTGGAAACTATACGATATATGAGAATGTTTTGCAAATATGCAGGGTAAATTGTGCAGCTCGTAGTTTGATAAAAAAGGTTCTTTGAAAGGCATTATTATCCATTCCATATCCGTATATGTATGCTCTACACACATATAAATACCTAACGTACCGAGGCGTTACAAGCTGCGTGACAAATTCGTGCCATTCGCTGTAAGGGTATACGAATAACATTTTTATGGGACTCACATTTGATGGGTACAAGGCGCACAGCCTTGGCCCGGCCGCGCACAGTTCAAAATGAGACACGCGCGTCGACAAGCTGCAGACAAATTGGCAGCACTTTTTCTGCTGCCGCTGCTGCTGGCAGGAGCTGGCGGCGAGAGCTTCAGCGATTGGCCGCGCCGAATCGAGCCGCCGCCGAACGGCGCCAGCTTCGACTACATTGTGGTGGGCGCGGGCAGCGCGGGCGCCATTGTGGCCAGCCGGCTGGCGGAGCAGCCGAACGTGACCGTGCTGCTGTTGGAGGCGGGCCAGGAGCCGCCGTTGGAAGCGGAGTACCATGCGCTGAGCGGACGACTGCATCACGACGCACGCTACATGTGGCTGGACGAGGCGGCGCCAAGTTCGCGCTGCTGCCAGGCGATGGAGCCGCCGCACGGCTGCAGCTGGTGGCACGGACGCATGCTCGGCGGCAGCGGCTCCATCAATGGCAACGTCTATGTGCCCGGCAGTGCTGACAATTTCCACGACTGGCGCTGGCGGCTCGGCCTCCGCGGCTGGGACTGGCCGCAGGTGCAGCTTGCCTACCGCCAGCTGCAGCAGCGTCTGCAGCCCAGCCTGTTCCCGCTGGCGACCTCGATGCAGCCGCTCGTCGAGCTCATCTATGCCGCCAGCGCGGAGCTGGGCGTGCCGCCCCTGCAGCAGCCCCTGCTGGCGGGCAGCAGCATCGGCTACACGCACTTGGTGCCCGCCACCATACACCAGGATCGACGCGCCAGCAGCGCCCGGCAGTATCTGGCCCGTGGCCAAGGGTCGCGGTCCGCCGGCGACAACTTGCAGCTGCTGCGTGGCGCCGAGGCGCAGCGTCTGATGCTCAGCGCCGGCGCGCAACGTGCGCGCGGCATCAGCTACCTTCACGTGGCGAGCAATCGTACGCTGTGGGCGTGGTCGCGCCGGGAGCTGGTGCTGAGCGCGGGCGCTTTGAACTCGCCCAAGCTGCTGCTGCTCTCCGGTATTGGGCCTGGGCCGCAGCTGCGCCGGCTGGGCATCAAGCCGCGCCTGCAGCTGGCGAGCGTGGGCCGGAATCTGCACGATCACGGCATGTTGCCGCTTTACCTGCGCTTCACGCGCACGCACACGCACACCTGTGCCTTCAACGCCAGCGACGACAGAGACGACAGCGACGACAGCGACGCCAGCTTCGCCATGATGGGCTTCATCAACACGAGCGCGCCGGCCTGTGGCATGTGCCGGCCGGATGTGCACGTGGCGGCGCACACATTGCTGCCGCGCGGCAGCGTGGGTAGCTTTGCCTATCTGGGCTTTCGTCCGGCGCTGATCGCGGCGCAGCGTGCGGCACTGCAGCAGACGGCCATGCTGCAGATTGTGGGCTCCTTGCTGCTGCCGAGATCGCGCGGCCATGTCGAGCTGCGCAGCGCGGAGCCGCGGCAACCGCCGCTGGTGCGGCATTGCTATGCGCGGCATGCCACGGACCGTGCCACCTTGCTGCGCTACGTGCGTTACGTGCAGCGCCTGGCGGAGACGCGTGCCTTTCGCGGCTGCGGCCTGCGGTTGTGGCTGCCGCCGCTGCCCGAATGCGACGCCCTGCCGCCGGACTCCGACGCCTATTGGCTGTGCCACATGCGCTACATGTATGTGGGGGCGTGGCATGCGGTCGGCAGCTGCCGCATGGCCGCCGCCGGCGATCCGCGCGGCGTCGTCGATGAGCGGCTGCGCGTGCGCGGCATCCGCGGCCTGCGCGTCGTCGACGCCAGCGTCATTCCGGAAATAACGGCGGGCAACACGAATGCGCCCACCATGATGATTGCCGAGCAGGCGGCGCGCATGATACGCGAGGATCAGCTGCAGCTGGACCGACTGCACCAGTCGGAGCAAGAGGAGCAAGCGGAACATCTACGGTCAAATGAGGTGCAGCAATGAGTTGCTTCTATATAAAACAATAGAACCAAAGACCCCAAGCGGGTACTTGATTTGATAGGGCAAAATATACCCTCACCTAGTCAAATATATGATAACATATATATTCATATATTTATTATCGAATTGTGCCCATATATAATATTCGATCTGAATATAACCCGACTCAGTAAAATAAATCTATATATATATATATTGGTATATATGTATATAAGATTTAGACTGAGAATATTCAATATATTATTATTAATCAGAATACTTATGACCCGCATATAAATATATATATATATATATATATATATATATATATATTTTGATCAAAATATATATACAAATCAACGCCCTTTTCAAATGTTTTGAGCATTTGCACATGCGTAACTTTTGTTCATCAACAGTTAACTGTCATATAAAAGGATGCTGGTTCGAATCCTCTTCAAATAGATAGATGTGGATGATGAACTAAGCCCAGTGCCTTTTTAAAACTATTTGCCATATATAAAATGGTAATCGTGATAAAAATAATAATAATAATTATAATTTCAATGATAACTCACTTTCCGACCGATTCCTTCCATAGAACTATACGAAATACCAGTTCATGTTGAGGCATGTTCGACTTATTGCATAAAGTTTAGTTACAACAATGAAATTGTTTATACAACAACTATATGATATTGTGGGTGCTGTAAAGCTGAGAGACTGGCTTAGGCAAAAACAGATAGACGAACTATATTGACTTGGCTGTTATTCTATTCCATTATTCTACCTCCGAATTGGATTGTCGTGCGCATTTCAAACCTCAAATTCAGTGAAATACTCAATTTAATGGACGCTGGTTTGATGTTTCGTTCAGTTACAATAAATACATACAATTTGCTTATGAATAACAAAAAAAAAAAAAAACTATTAATAAAGAGCTTGCATTAAGTCTAAGAGCACAAAAAAAAAAATAAACAATATAAATACACGGACTCACACACAGATGCACACACACACACACACACACGCACACATACACGCACACACACAGACACAGGAGCTTGGCTATTGTAGTTAGACTATTGTATTCTTGATCCAGAACTCCTTGATCATATCGCTGCCCTTCTCGGCGATCATGATCACCGGCGCATTCGTATTGGCGGAGACCAGCTTGGGCATGATGCTGGCATCGATGACGCGCAGTCCACGGATGCCGTAGACCCGGAGCTTGGCATCGACGACCGCATCCTTGTCCCAGTAGGGTCCCATTTTGCAGGTGCCGACGGGATGATAGATGGTCGATGTATATCGCCGGACCATGCACTCCCAGTAGCTGTCCGTGAACGGAGGCAGCTGCTCGCAGCCCGGCCAGCGTATGCTGGAGAGCCGGGAGCCGAAGCGTTGCATGGCCTTGGTGCGGGAGAGCGCAACGGCAACCTTGACGCCCTCGATAAGGGTCTTCAGATCGAACTCATCGGCCAGATAGTTGGGAAAGATGTAGGGATAGTCGAAGGGATTGCTGCTGCGCAGCTTGATGCTGCCCGTGCTGCGTGGACGCAACAGCATGGGTATTATGCTCCAGGCATCCCGATTGTTAATCGGCTCGAACACGGACCGATAGAAGGCGTCCGTCAGACCGTGCGCCTTGCGCAGCTGCGAACCGCCATCGGAATTGGTTGAGCCGGACACAAAATGGAACTCTATGTCCGGCCAGTCCAGCGAGCTGTTCGCATACTTGGTATTCACATAGGCGAGACCCTCGACGCCGCCCAGAATGGTGAGCGGACCCTGGCCGAATACCGCATACTGCAGCACCGTGGACATGGTGTGAAAGCGATTCTCCACTATGGATACCGGCTGATTGACCAGAAACGTGAGCCCGCCCAGACCAATGTGATCCTGCAGATTCTCGCCCACGCTCAGCTCCTTGATGAGCGGTATGCGATGCTTGGCCAGTTGCTTGCGTGGACCCACCCCGCTGAGCATCAGGAGCTGGGGACTGTTCACCGAGCCGCCGGAGAGCACGACCTCCTTGGTGGCACGCACATGGTAGAGCTTCTGGTCCTTGACAAACTCGACGCCGAATGCCAGCTTGCTAACCGGATCGATCATAATGCGTGTCACATGCGAGTTCATCGAGATGTGCAGATTGGGACGCAGTCGGGCCGGACGTAGGAACGCCTTGGAGGTGGAGCAGCGCGAGCCACGCCTTGTGGTGCCCTGGGCAATCATAAAGCCTGTCATTTTCTCGCCATTCAAATCGCGATTGTCGTAGCCCATCTCCACGCCCGCCTCCACAAAGCTGGCCGCCAGCGGCGTATGGTAGGGTGCCTCGCCCACCGTCAAATAGCCGCCCGTGGCATGATAGGGCGTGCTGGCCAAGTACGGATTGGTATTATCCTCTGACTTCTTGAAGTAGTACAGGGCATCGCGATACGACCAGCTGGGATTGCCCAGCGCCTCCCAGTTGTCATAGTCGTGCTTCGATCCGCGCAGATAGAGCATATAATTCAGCACGGAGCTGCCACCCAAAACCTTGCCCCTGGGCCAGTTGCAGCGTCCGCCTTGCATAGCTGTAAGAGGCAGATCGTTAGATGTGCAGGAAAATTATAAACATAAAAGCTCTTTGAATGGAAATTCCTTGGAGGCGAATAACTAAAGAGGAATTTTTAAAAATCCTCTTGAGAGGAATTCCATTAGAAGTTCTTCCTCAAGAAACAAATATTACGAAAGAAATCCTTGGAAAAGCCATTAAATATGACTTGCTCAATGCAAATATATTTAAGAAGGGAATACCTAAAGCGATTCCTTTGCAAGGAGAATCTTACAGGAGAGAAACCCTGTAGGGAAAGTGCCTGCAGGCTATATTCCTCAGCAAGAAATTGTAAAAGGAAAGCCTTTTCTTTTAGAAGCATATTCGAAAAGGTTAGAGGGTGGACGAAACATAGCACAGAAAAAGGATACTTCTGTAGAAGATCAAGTTTAACAGGCTTACCCAAACACGATTTGCCCGATGGTTCCGTCTTGTACTGCCAATCAATCTTGGAGAGCTGCAAATACCCGGCCATGAGGGGCACATCCGTAAGTTCCGTCTCATCGCCGCCCGCCTCCAGCAGAAGCACATTCCAGTTCTCCACCTCGGTCAAGCGATTGGCTACCACAGCGCCGGCTGAGCCGGCGCCTATAACTATGAAATCATAGTGATCCAGTATGTCATCGCTGCTGACATCGCTGGGCTTCGACTCGGGATCCATGATCTCCTCGTACTGGAAATAGGCCACCGCTGCCATTAGCATGGGTATGAACCAGCTGTTGCTGGTTGCCGCCGTCACCGCGCCGCCGATTGCCGAGGCAGCGCCCACAATAGCCGAGCTCATCGCTGGAAGCCTTCCTCCGATCAAGCTGTGTCCAAGTCAGGCGATGGCGATCTTCCAATGCGCGACGTGTCTGCAAAACGAAACAGCAACAAAAACACGTTGAATATGTCATGAAAAGTCACGTTTGTAATGTATGTAATCGGGTTAGGCGATTCGCTTGCTTTGGGAACGCAGCTTTTCACGCGCCTCAACATTTCGATCACGAACTTGCCGCATTTTGGCGATTTCGTAACCCGATCGCGGCTGCCATTTGTCATGCATACCCTATCCATTTGTCCAACGGGGCATTACAGCACGCACGCATCGCTTATCACAGCCAAACGATCCGAATGGAGTTTCAAATCTAGCGAGTCTTCAACTTAACCTCAATGAACTAGTTCTAGTCAGCGCGAAAGCTCTATTGATTCTGTGAAAGCTCTCACGTATGTGAAAGATTGAGAACATAAGCTCATCATTTAGCTAGATAGGAGGGATGGGAATTGGATACTGGCAGGTGAATCTATCGCCGAGTATCGCCTTTTTATCGCCTTTGCATCTTCCAGCGATATTCATTTTTTTAGTTTGTCGAATAATCTAGCGAAAGTGAATCACCGGGAAATGGGCAATGTATTCGCAGAGACATTACGCAATAGTGTCGCCTGGGAGATACATTGGCGATACGATTGAGATAGGGACACAGGGCGCGTGATCTGAAAGCTAGAAAGATTTGTCGCCTGGAAGATACATTTACGATGCATAAAATAGAAAATGGGGAATTACGACAGGAAAAGAGAAGTGTCTGCAAGATAGTACGATGTATCGCCTGGAAGACTCATTTGCGATACATAAAATAGAGAACATATGGAGAAACGAAAAACGTGATGTCTGAGGGATAGAAATAGGTGTCGCGTGGGAGATATATTAACGATACATCAAAAAGAGATTAACTTGAAAAACGGAAAGTGAAGTGTCCTACAGCTAGGAAGAGCTGTCGCCTGGGAGATACATTGGCGATACATTCAATAGACAGATTACCTTACGAAACAAAAGCTAGGAAAAGGTGTCGCCTGCGAGATACGTTTACGACAGGAATGACTACTTCCTAGCTAATTTGTCCATATTTTTAAAGAGCTGTCAATAACCCGAAAGTAATTTATTAGTTTTTTTTTTTTTTTTTTTGTAAATCTCCCAGCAATGAACATGGTAAAAATTTCATTTGATTTAATAAGGGAAACAACGGGCTATTGTTGCACGTGTTGCACAGCTGAAGCCAGCGGAGTTGGAGTTGGAGTTGGTGTTGGAGTTGGGGTAAAAGGCCTCCCGCATAAAAGTGAAATCTTCGCTGGCTATTATAAAACCTCAAAAAAAAAAATGAAGAAGAAGAAGATAAATAACAAATAAAAAAAAAACGCAGCGACTGCCGCTTTTCACTCCATTATTTCTGGTCAAAAAGCCAGGCAACAATTGTTGTTAGTACACACACACACACATATGTGCATATGTATATGTGTGTGTGTGTGTGTGTGTGTGTGTGTGCATGCAACCAGTTTGTTGCGCTTGCAACGGGGCGTGGCAAGCCGCCCTAGCGCTAGGCGCTGGACTTGTGGAATGCCAAAAACGTTTCCTGTCGCTGACTTTGCATAATCTTTGGCTAGCTTCGAGCTAAACTAACGGCTAACTGTGGCAGCACTAGCTCTTCTTCTTCTTGTTGTTGTTGTTGTTGTTGTTGTAGTCGCAATTACAAACTTGTTGTTGCAAACAGGTTGCCACTGCGCCGAGTTGAATGCGCGCCGTGCGCAGCTCAAGTTCAAGGTACCAGCGAA